GACATTAAAGGATAAAGGCAGTTCTAAAGCAAAAGTGGGTCCAACCCAGTACTAGTAAGGCGTACCTAATAAAGTGGCCGATTAGTGTTTATATGCGTGTTTTACAACACAGTAATGACAATTAAGAGGGAATATATATAAAATAAAACATAAATATAGTAATAATCACAATGTTTAAAATGTTGATGAGAAAAGAGTTGCAAATACTCCTACATCCTAACAACCATTTAGCAGTGCCTCACAACAATATACAGTGTTCTGCATAATTGAGTACACTCCATTTTGAAAATGAACATTTTTTATCTGTTTCTTTGTGAATATAGAATATATTTTGGTGCATTTAAACAAAATAAATGTATTAAACATATATAAATATATATATATATATATATATATATATATATATATATATATATATATATATATATATATATATATATATATATATATATATATTTTTTTTTTTTTTTTTTTTTTTTTTTACTAAACAGATATATTTATTAAAATAATATTATATTGACCAAAAATTTAGAAATTGAAAGATAATACAATTTCAAGCAAAATATAAAAGAAAACTTACAACCTTCAAAATTTCAACAATTTTTCTTTTCAATGTTACATTTACTCTCCCTAGACAACTTAATAAATCGTAACAACTGTATATAAATATTGATAAATCATTTCTTTATTGATAAAATGCTATGAGATTCTGCCAGAGTGTGTGTTATTTTCTGTATTTATTTTAATTGATTACTTCTCTCTGTGCAAACAGGCTGTGTGTGTGTGTTTATTATGAATAAATTGATTTCTTTTTCTTTTATAAAATTTCTACTTTATACTTTATATTGCTATTCGTCCTGAATTTCATACAGTTTTCTTCTCCTCTGCTTCTCTCTCTCTCTCTGTCTCTGGACAGACATTGATTTTTCTGTGTGTGTGTGTGTGTGTGTGTGTGTGTGTGTGTGTGTGTGTGTGTGTGTGTGTGTGTGTGTGTGTGTGTGTGTGTGTGTGTGTGTGTGTGTGTGTATGAGAGTGGCTGGTGGAAAGCAGTTGTGGCATGCAATAATCTTAATCCAAATTTAGCCATTTAATTACTGTTATTTGACAAATAGCTTGTATATTACTGTGGTTAGTGATTTTGATGAATATCTAGCAAAATGATTTGTTCCTCAAACACGTGGACGGCAGAACAGAAACAGTGTGTGTCCAGCAAATCCCCGGAGAGCAGATCGTCGTTCTGTGATATTTTCTCTGTGTGTGTTCAGTAAACGCACAGCACTCAATCGATAGAGCTGGTAAAAGACTTATAGCCACACTAAGCCAAAGTCCACTTAATGGCAAGGCAATTTATCAAAGAGCGAGTGAGCGAGAGGGCAAGTAAGACGGAGGTAGAGAGACAGCTTTTTTTTCGGTCTCTCACTTGCTCAAAAGCCAAGCTCACTGGACATTTGAAAATGGCTATTGTGGATCTTACATCTGTGTGAATCGCCTCTTTGTCTTTTTTAAAATCCATTTTAACAACAGTTCACAAGTACTTATTGTTCGTGCTTTTGAGAAGGTACAATCTTTGAGGTTTTTTGAGGTTATGAATATGTTGAGACACAAGAGCTGTCTCTTCAAGAATATAAACCTGCATGAAAATATTTGAGGTATCTCTGCCTCTTATTTGCTATCTGCATGAGCCAACACTCAGCGCTAGTCCAAGAAAACCTCACATTTGCATTAATATGCATATCTTTTAATATCCATTTCATAATAGAAACACAACGCCATCATCTTACTAATTAAATTAAAGTCTTAGATTTGGAAAAAAAGAAGCTAATTTAATTAGAGAACTCTCTGCGGGAAGAGGAAAGAAAAAGCCTTTAGGAGAGATATAAAAAGATCACTCATGTTCTTTGAAGTGTCTGAGACGTGCAAAGACCAAAAATGTTCTCCCTCGGGCCAATGGACCCTCAACCTGGTATATTCTATGTAATGCATTTATACATTCATGAAACTACATTATGGGATTCATTTGAGGGTGGAGTGAATCTCCAAGAGCTCATTCTCCACGGGGGGAGAAAAGTCTCTTTGATGCTTAAAATGTCTGTGGAATCTTTCTTTGCATCTTCTAATGCTGCGCATGTCAAAGGCAAATATACAGTTATGGTAATGAACGTTCTAAAGGAAAAAGTACCACAGCTTCATGTTCATGTTATGGCCGTATCATCATTCAAAAATGTCTGTTTTATTTGTTTTGTTAATTATTTTTTTTTATTTTTTTTATATTGATTGATTAGGGGTAAATTTTTTGTGTGTGTGTTACAAAGGACTAGATATCAATAAAGAATGAATGTTCTCATATTTATGAAAAACATTTGAAGTTCTAAAGCAACTGTGTCCTTAAAAAGACGTGTTAGTGTCATTAGAAACTGAATTGGAAGTAACGTTATTTTAATATAGTCAGTCGGCGACTGAGGTGGGCCGGTCTAGGGCTTAAAACTCCAGAGCTAAAAAGGAGTCCCACTCCGTCCCTGGATCTTACATTTCTGCTTTTATATATGTATGTTGCTCAAAGAAAACCTCAACACAACCGCCCCAATGAAAAAGTTGTATAAGTCCCCCTCACCCCACACATCCAATTCTCCGCCCTTGAGCTCCAGTCTGCTGTGCAGTTTAATGCTCTGATGTTGAGCTTTTGTTTGTTTGTTTGTTGGTTTAAGGCAGCGGGACTTTTCATGTCCTCTGTGGCCAATCCTGTTGGAGGAGTTCATGTTTTAAAGCCCCCCTGCTATTTTTTTCTGATGGGTTTTTAAGTGGTCTTTGGTGCGCTTGTTCTTTCAGCGCACCCTTAGCTTTTGTGTGTCGCCGCATTTGTGTGTTTGTTCTCTCAGATAATGAAGTCTTCCTGCGGGTGTGTTTGGTTGTCTGTGAAAACTCACTGCTAAACAAACACTCTTAATGACTTGGCTGTTTTCTCTTTCTCTCTCGCTCTGTTTCTTTCTCACTCTGACGCTTTATCTTCACAGATATTTGCATAAATATATGGCTAATGATGGACCAACCGGAGGATTGGTGTATGTTGGAGATGTTAGTGGATTCAATTAACCTGCATCAGACCTGTGAATCTACATAACACTGATCACACAACAGGACATTACAGTTTATAACTGCTGTGATTTAAGAGGAAATTAATCATTAAAGGGCACCTATAGTGAAAAATCTACTTTTCATGCTGTTTGCACAGACATGTGTATTAGTATAGTGTATAGACCGTCATATTGGGGTGATATAAACACACCCAGTCCTTTTTTTTTTCAAATTAACAACATAAAAACATCCGTCCATCATTTTCTGTCTATTTATCAATCATTCCATCTATCATTCTATTTGTCCGTCCGTCTATCATTCTGTCTGTCAAAACTGTCTGGTCTTTCTGTGTCTGTTCGTCTATCATTCAGTCTGTTCAAAGTCTGTCATCTATCTATCTATCCATCCATCCATCCATCCATCCATCCATCCATCCATCCATCCATCCATCCATCCATCCATCCATCCATCCATCCATCCATCCATCCATCCATCCATCCTTAAATCTATCTTTCTATGATTCTATATATCATTCTCTGTCATTCTGTTGTTCTATCCTTCTGTCTATGTATCGTTCTTTCATTCTGTTGTTCTATCGTTCTATCTATATTTTGTTCTATCTGTCATTCTGTTGTTCTATCCTTCTATCTATGTATCGTTCTTTCATTCTGTTGTTCTATCGTTCTATCTATATTTCGTTCTGTCTGTCATTCTGTTGTTCTATCCTTCTATCTATGTATCGTTGTTTCATTCTGTTGTTCTATCGTTCTATCTATATTTCGTTCTGTCTGTCATTCTGTTGTTCTATCGTTGTTGTACCACCTTTATAATTATCTGTTCTGTCATTTTATTCTCTCGTGTTCTGTTTCTCTATCTGTTCTTCTATCTTACCTTTCTGTCGGTCTTTTCATCTTCCCTTTGTTTTTCATTCTATTTATCTATCTGCTTTTCTGTTCTATTTATTTGTTGTTCTGTCTGTCTGTCTTGTTTATCTATCAATTGTTCTGTAATTCAATATATCTGTTGTCCTGCCTTTCCTTTTCATTCTTCCATTTGTCGTTCTGTCCATGCATCCGTTTGTCATTCTGTCTGTCCATCCGTTTATTTCGTTCTATCCATAAATCCGTTTGTCGTTCTTTCCATACATCTGTTTATGTCGTTCTGTCCATCCATTCGTGTGTCGTTCTGTCTGTCAATCTGTTTATTTCGTTCTGTCCATACATTCATTAAATCGTTCTGTCCATCCATTCGTTTGTCGTTCTGTCCATCCATCTGTCCGTACATCCATCCATCCATCAATCATTCTGTCAGTCCATCCTTGGTTCTGTTTGTTGTTCCGTCTATCCGTTCCTTATTCTCTTTTTGTTTCTCTTTCTTCTCTTTCTTCTCTTTGTCTTTTTATCCTTTTTCTTTGTTGTTCTATTTATCCATCGTTCTGTCTTTCATTCTTTTTCGTATCTGCCATTCTGTTTGTCTCAGTCATTCAATAAATCTGTCATTATAGCTGTGTCTGATGTTTGGTCTATTAGTTCATCATTCTTTTGCTCGGTTGTTCTAACCTTATATCATCTATATCATTCTGTTTTTCAAGCTATCTGTCAGTTTATCGATCATTTTATCCCTTTATCTGTTGTCCCATCCATCTGTCGTTCTTTTGTTCTGTTGATCTATCTATGGTTCTTATTAATCCTATCAAATGATCCATCTATCATTCTACCTGCAGATCTATTAACCTGTCTACTGTTCCCTCTCTTTGTTGTTTTCCATCCATTCATTTTGTTTGTTCCACTTTTCATCCATCTATCAATGGTTGTCCTGTTCTGTCCTTCTGGAATATTCATATCATCTAAACACACGCATAAAGGATCGTTTTGTATTCATCTGAAGCTCAGCTGAACTGAAGCTCCTGGTGTGAAAATCTCTCATACCTGCTCTAGTTTCCAGTGAAACTCTGCAGGTCTGAAGGAGTCGGTCTGCGTGTAGTCCGTCCTCAGCAGGAACACCAGCCTGCAGTTATGCACATACAGAGAGTAATGGTGTCTGTTCATCTCTGAGAGAAAGAGAGAGAGACGGAGCACAGAGAGGTCAACAGACAGACACAGAATACAATTACCTCTTGACATACCAGATAATATCGTTAAATTAAACCTGAGCGAAAAGAAACGGCGCCGTTTGGTGTGTGTTTATCTATATAGAGATCATGACTGGAAAGATCTCTATTCAACTTAACATGGTTGGAAGTGGAGCTGCAATTGGCTTTTTCAAATTAAATTCTGATCTTAACGGTTTGCTTTAACCCTGCTGAAAAGAGCAGCATCGTTTGCATGTCAGCCGTGCTTTGCGGCTAGTATAGCTGGCTATTATCGCCCCTTTCCGCTGTTGGTACCAAAAAGCGAACCGTACCACTTTTTGGGTACCCTTTCGAAAGGGTACCAAGCACAACATAAGTGTATCAAAGACTGAGCTAGACGTGCAGCTGAACGCTATTGGTTTGCAGAGATGCATCACTCACTCGTACACAAGACAGGAGAATGAAAACAAAGGAAGCGCCATTTTAAATTTACAGCCGAGACATTACACCGTAATAATATATACATATAATAACGAGCCATGGTTGACCCGAGCTCAAACAAACCTTGTCAACATCTTAGGGCCTACTCACAATATGCCATCCATGCCCAGGCCCGTTTCCCGGATCGTTTGAGAAGTGTGAGTGCGCTGAATCGGGCTCAAGCACGGTTCACTTGGCCGGCCCTGGCCCGGTTGGAAGAGGTGTGCCTGAGCGCGGTTCACTTGGGCTTTGGCACGGTACGTTTGTAATGTGAGCGCAAAACGTGCCAAAGCCCGAAACTGAAAGCGAGACGTGACTTTTAAGGGGCTGTTTCATATGGATTTATTAATCATTTTTACTGTTCAGTAAACGCAAACTGCCGTAGCTTATAAAAGACGAGAACTCCTCACAGCACGACAGCTGCGCGCCTTCAGCAGACCTCCTCATTCCTGCAGCACGAGAGCTTTATGATTGTTTATGAGCGTCAAAAGTGGCGGATCTGTTCGGCGAAATATCTGACTGTGTGTCTTCGCATCCCTAAGGACTGTTTGGCGAAATATTTGACTGCATGTCACTGCATAACAAATGACTGAAATGATATAAGTAGAGAAATCTCCACTGTGCTGCTGAGTGAGAGAACGCTCCTCACTAAACAGCGCAGCAGCGATAACGCAAGCGTGCCGAGGCCCATGTGTGGTGTGAGTGTGGGCCGTCGGGGGAGACGGGAGGGGGGACAAGCGTGCTTTGGCCCGGTTCGAGGAAACTGTACCTAGTGTGAGTACGGCCTTAGTCAATAGCCACATCTTGATGAACAGCCATTGTGCCCCGTCGTTGTTCACAAGGCCGTTTAAAGCGTGAGCGGTTTCACTTTCTCTAGAGAGCTCGCTCGATATAGACCTTTTTCTTGGCTGCTGCATGGAGGGCACCATAGCGACCAGCGTCTTCCTCTTGAATGTTTAGAACTTCCGTTTACAGTGTTTACAACCTCTAATTTACACTCTGAAAATGGGTTTCAATAGCGTTTTGAGTGGATTATGGAGTGTTTTTGTGACATAAAACTTTGAAAGGTGTGGGTAAAGCAGTTATAATCTGTCATGTAGTTCAAGCGCAAGAGAAAAACGTTCTCCTAGTTCTTGTGTCTGCCGTCAGAAATACAGTGTGTGTGTTTTCCCGAACTGTCAGCTCAGTGGCTCTTCAATACACACATGCAATACTTCACTGCATCATAGAGAAAACCAGATTACTGGCATGAAACTTAACAGGTATGTCATGCAATTTACAAAAATGACCAATAAAAGTCTGTTACTGATACTCTGATGGCTGATTTGCTGTTCATTCTAATGGCGAGCTGTTTATGTTTCATTTAGTGTGTGGTATTTACCACTATTTGTGTTTTTCTGTCATTTCAAAATGTCACTTTATTTTCACTTTGTCATTTATTAAATCAGTGTGTCAGTGGGACATTACAGGTGACTTTAGCAGTGACGAGGCTTCATTTAAACGGCACAAGATGCATTTGTTTTCCATTCCAATCGATCACATTTTTTAAAAAAATGATCAGTCCAGGAGGTGGCGCTGATTGATAACGGTATTAGTTCAAAGATGATAAAAGCAGATCAAATATATTAAAACTATCGTTTCAAACCGGTCCAAACATAAAATTTTCTTGAGTTGATGATATTAACATGTGCGTGATTATTAAAGTGCTCATTATTAAAGAGTCGATGCCCTTCCAGCCACAACCCAACACTGGGAAATATTTTGTATATTACTAACCTATATATGCATAATCTAAATACAGTAGCTAGGTCCATCACGTTTTTGGGTTTGAATCATTTCCATTGTGTTCTGTGCTATTTGCTTGTGTTATGAGTAGGGCCAGATGGAATCTGTGGACATTTTTTGCTATTCTTGCGCAGAATTTTGTTAATTTTGTTATGCTTTTGGGAGTATCATAACTAAAACCTTAATATATGAACTAAAAGTGATACTTTTTTAACTTTGTATTTAATGTTTACAATGCAAATACAATTAGATCCACTTTATTTGGTAAACAAAGCAAGTCTATATAATAAATCTACTAAAGGACAGAAACATTTACAAACTGTATTCTAAATAAAGTATATGGATATTATCATATTAGTCAATAATAATACTGAAATTAATAAAAAAACTGAATTTTATAAATTTACACACACTTACACACGTAAATAAACAGAATCAATCATGGGCTAAAAATCTGCGGAAATCTGTGGAATTCTGAGCGTGCAGATTTCGTGTGGGCCTACTTATGAGCCACTGGCTCGTCTGCAGTTGAGCGGAGGGTATTACTGGCTCATCAATTAGACCTTATATAGACCTTCCCGGCATTCATACACTGGTCTTTTCAGCAGATTTCATTTCGTTCTCTCACCAGTTTTGTCAGAGTTGCAGAGCAGTGTTTCTTTCTCGGCTCTCTGTCCTGGACTCGGCCCGTGCTTCATCCATGTGGTTATGGTGAACTGGTCGGTTAGATTTTGCGGGACGACCCAGTCTGGGATTTTGGCTGCTTGGTGTCCATCAAATCGGTATGCGAGGTCACTGTCCCGCCCGCTGTCTCTCACGAGAGTCACCGTCCAGTTACATACTCCACCAGTGGCCGGAAGAAGAGCTGTGCTGCCCGATGAAGATCCTGGTGTTTTGCCAGTATAATCAGAGAGTTCAGAGATGAAATGATCAGTTGAAATGCAGGTCAAAGTCGCAGACTTTTAAATTAATAATATCTCTTTCACGTGACTGGTACTACAAACTATCATTCAACTGAAAAACCTTAAAATATACACTGTAAAAAAAGATCTTGCTGCCTTAACCGTTGTGTATTGTTTAAATTAACTTCTCTCTTATTGAGTTGGTGACTATTTTTGCCTCATTGACTTCCATTATATTGACATTTTTTGACTTTTTTTTGATTGCAAAGCCTTGAGAGCAAATAATCGTGCGATATTCGGTCAGAAATGGCATGTAAGTATGACTTAGAAATGAGTGTAATTCCTGCACGACACCAGCCAAGCTTTAGCTCAACACATGAGAGAGGGTTCTGCTGTCATGCGGTAAGTGCGCTTGTATTTTCAGGAAATGTGGCTTTGGACGGCAGGGGGAGGGACGGTGTTTCAGAGATTTTAACAGGCTAGCATTTTGGCGAATTACTTACTGCACCCGACTCAATCACCAGGGTTACAGTTTTGAGTTGTATCAAATTAACTTTTCTATTAGTCTCATCTTGCATTAATCAAACTGACAAAAAACATTGATTTAAACTTGTACTAATTTAAGTTAAAACCTGATTAAAATAATGTAAAGCAACAACAATAATAATTACACTGAGCACACTCCTTCATTTTAAATTTGATATAATGACATTGACAAATTGAATTTATTTAGTAATTCGTTACTTCACTTTAAAATCTGAGTAGACTTGTGGCCTTAAAGTATAAGTTGACTTAAAAAGAAAAGTGAATAAACCTTTTGTAATTTGGAACTTTAGATGACCTATTTTTTTTTTTTTTAGCATTTTAACACAGTTCATTTACATTATACTTTTAAGGCAATAGCTTTAATTCCTTTAAAGCAAAGCAAAATCACTTTTACTGTTTGACAGGCATATGCACACAGGGCTCAACCTGAAAATCTGAAGTGCCCCCCTCGCCCTCTTCAGTTTGCAACAAAACCCCAGACCCCATCCCCTACCCCCAGGGTCTTAAAAAGTCTTAAATGTCAAAAACAAAATTTTAGGCTTTAAAAAGTCTTAAATTTACATGTAGTATTGTAGGTCTTAATTTTTCTTTGGCCATGTATAGCTACATAGTCAGTACTACCAACAATCCATCTAAAAATAACATTTAACAAAAGTAAAATTGATTAACTCCATCTGCTAATACGGGTTAATTATTTTCCTTACAATAACATTTGTTTAAAAGTTCTCCATGTATTTATGCATAAATTATGTATGTTGTGTATAACATTTTGTTTATTATGGTTTTTAAAACTTTTTACTTATATGTGGATGGTATATTTATATAACAAGGATGAATGAATAAATGCATATCATAATATATTATTATAAAAAAACTTGCCTTGCCTATTTACATATAATAATCTACACTACCGGACAAAAATCTTGGCTATCCAAGTTTTAGGAACAACAAATAATAACTTGAATTCTAGTTGATCATTTGGTATCAGAAGTGGCCTATATGAAGGCAACGGCCTCTAGATTATGCCTATTATACCAAAATAAAATATGATGATGCCTTGATTTTTTATTATTTTTTTTAGGACAGTAAGGTCTGACTTTGCTAAGACAAACGTCTTGTCACTTTACAGAAATAATGTCCAGTATAGAATATAAAGTCATGCTGCAGTGGAAAGAGAGTGAATATTGTGTCTGACTCCATCATGAGCTTGGAGGACTGCATCCATACATCACTGCAATGACTTAAATCACTTATTAACAAAGTCATCTAGAATGGCAAAGAAAGCGTTCATGCAGGACTCCCAGAGTCCATCAAGATTTTTTGGATTCATCTTTATTGCCTCCTCCTTCATCTTACCCCAGACGTGCTCGATAATGTTCAAATCTGCTGGCCAATGGTGCACATTGACCTTCTTCGCTTTCAGGAGCTTTGATGTGGAGGCTGAAGTATGAGATGGAGCGCTATCCTGCTGAAGAGTTTGCCCTCTCCTGTGGTTTGTAATGTAGTGAGCAGCACAAATGTCTTGATTCCTCAGGCTGTTGATGTTGCCATCCACTCTGCAGATCTCTCACATGCCCCAAACCAAGATTCCTTCTCCAAACTAGACCAATTTCTGTGAGAATCTTGGCTCCATGCGGGTTCCAAAAAGGTCTCCTGCAGTATTTGTGATGATTGTAATGCAGCTCAACAGATGATTCATGGGAAAATCTGCCTTCTGCCACATTTCCAAATGATGAACTAGAAGTCAAGTTATTATTTGTTGCTCTTACAACTTGGATCAATTACAAGGCTTTTGTCAGGTAGTGTATATACTACACAGAATAGAATCTACAATTAGTCACTTCTAATTCCATTCATTGCTGAGGAAATCTTAATAATTCAGGTCTGCATTTGCTTTGTCGTGTTTCATTACATTTATTACAACATCATTAATTTGACGCATCGTGTGATTCAGTGCATTACATTAGGGAACGCTGGCACACATCTTGTCAAAAGACGTCTTGAAAATCAGTGATGAGCTCCGTATCTTTATTTTAAAACTTGATTTGTAATTTGTCGAGACAATCCCTCTGATATGGATGGATGATGTCTTGGGCTAATTTACACCGATAATGATCCTGCGCCTAGACGCAAACCTATTCTAGGAGGTTTTTGTCTGCCTAGTTTTGCCCTCAGGCACATTTTGTAATTAAAGCGACCCGAGAGAAATGAGGAAACGTGCAACGGAATAAATAGCGCTTCATCATTACCGCAGAGCTTCTGTAAGGATCTCTCCGAGTCGCAGCCGCGTCCAACACCACTCGTCTCCAGCTCCACTGTGGTCCGAATCCAGGACACCGATCCCTCGCACGTCTCCAGGTGCATCTTGGGAAATAAGAGCTTACTGCCTGCTCCTGGCTCATAATCAACAAGCTTCCTCCAGCCTGGAAAGGGAGAAAGGCAGGGAATGTTTTGATGAGTAGCTTAAATATTGAGTTAATGCCACTGAGCTGGAAAATGAAGAGATATTGAGGTCACACTGTTTCTCAGACTTCAGTGCAATTAACAGCTCAATTTTCCCCAGAAATAACATGCATTTAAATGCCCTGCAAAGAGAATTGGACTAGTTTTGTGGAAAGTTAGAAAGTAATGCAATAAAATATTGAGCTACTCCCTAAAAAAATTACTTTTCACATTCTACTGTCATATTTTAACTTTAGCAGCAGTGGTGCAGTGAGGAGTTTGCGTCTAATAATCTACGACAGTTTGCGTTCATTGAACAGTAAGAATGATTAATAAACGCATATGAAACAGTCCCTTAAAAGTCATGTCTTGCTTTCAGTTTCGGGCCAGATGCGCTTTGCACCCACAAAGAAACGAACCGCGCCAAAGCCCAAGTGAACCACCCTTACACTTCTCAAACGATCCGGGAAACGGGCCTGGGAACGGTTCAGATACCTCTAGTTTGGAAAAAGTCAGGAAAATGGGTGTGTTCAGCTCTGTTTAGGTGGAGGAGGGTGGGAAAGAGGGAAGGTGCATACAAATTTGCATAAAATAGGGAGTGACGGTTTGGGCATGCGCTGTTTTTACAGAGGCAAAACAAACACACAGACGCAGGTGAGAAAGACAGTGACCTTTTAAATGGACATCAGTAATCAAATTATTTGTTAAATTATTAAATGGTGAACTTTAACTGCAGTTTGGCTCTTTCATTCAGGAACATTTCATTCATGCCCCTTGTGACAAACGAGATTTTTGATTCAAGGAACTGTTGGAAGTGTGTATTTTTAATGCAATGTTTGATACCGCATCGGATGGGAGGGGACATGTCCCCCCCCCCCCCCCTCCCCCCCGGGATTTACACCCCTGATCTCATCCCAATCCAAATTTACTTCTCAATTTTATTTTCCCCACTTATTGATTATAGCACCTTGACATGCCTTTCTTCTGTACTTTTTGTTTATTTGTTAAAAAAAAAAAGATAAATATAGAGGAGTCCTAAATGGCAAAAGAACATAAAAATGCAATCACTTCTCATATGCGAGGTGTAAGGTCTGTCTTTACATTAACATTTGACTGAAACTGCTATTACACCTCTCATAAATTGAAATAAAAAGGACTGTAAAATGTTCTGTGTAAAAAAATTAACCGAAAACTGCCTAATGTTCTGTTATATCAAAACGTTGAGCAAACTTTTTTTGTTGTGACTAAAATAAATTAGTTTTGAGCAAAAAAAGTTACCAAAAGGCCTGAAATATCAATATGATACATAATAAATTTATATAAACATCTATATGGTATAAAAATGGATCTTGATATAAGGATTAATAAACATTTCAGTTCCAAAAATTTTTTAACAGGGTTTATCATTATATATCATTTTAATTTAACAGGGATTATCATTATATATCAAGTATAAAAAATTCAAATATTATTTTCTATTTTATCTGAAATATAATGAAGTCTGTACTTGCATAAACATACATTTTGTGTGATCTCTCTTATTTTGGCAAATTAATTAATTAATTAATTAATTAATAGTAATAAATACAGAAAAATTTTCAGAATAATCATAACTTTTTACCTAAACTGTACAGTATGCATGATTTGTACTGTTCATCAAGACTACGACAAGGTTTGTTTGAGCCCGGGTCGACCATGGCTCGTTATTATACAGTATGTATATATAATTCCGCTGTAATCTCTCGCTATGTGTGTATTTTCTCTGAAAATAAAATCTCTGTAAAAATCTCTGTAAACCAATAGCGCTTAGTTGCGCGTCTAGCTCCGCCTTTTTTTTGTATTTGTATATGTATTTACCCTTTCGAAAGGGTGGAAAGGCCATAAAAGCGTTCCGAACCATACCGTACCGTACTCAGTGGAAATGGGCCATAAATGGTGGATATTGGTGGGGACACGTACCCTCAGTCCATGCCAATTCTACACCCTTGATAAATAGTCCAAAAACTGAACTACTCATACTGAATGTTTTTGGAAGCCGTTGACTTGTGTTTTATGAACAGTTAAAGCAAATAGAAGAGCTAAACTGAAAGGGAAAATAATCTTTGTTGGCTTTGTTAGCTAGGTAAACTGTAAAAACTGGTCATTTTTGACATTTTTATTCATCCGCCATGTAAAATTCATACTTCTAATCAATAATTAAAGTAGCAGTTTGCATCTCTGCTATTCATTGTTCATGTCTTGAGTGCAAATATGATGTTGATGTCGTGCATGAAAGAGAATAGTATGGTATTTTTGTGTTTTCCATGCCTAATTAATAATATATTTGATTTGTGTTGCCCATGCACAGCTCTTTGCGTGTTTGGCGAGATGTATTTAAATTTTCAGACTGTATTGTGTTTTAATGAATTCTATCGCCAGTGGTTATTTAACATGAAGAGTGGAGAAATTATAACTGTGGACAGTATTAAATGGGATATGTAAACATGTACTCACAAGCAAATATTTGCTCACACACAAACACATGCTTTTAGTTGGAGAATTTGGGAGCTGAAAATGATTATTTTATGCAGTGCGCCTAAAGGTAATAACAAAATGTGTGTGTAGACGGTGCATGTCCACCCCTGCTGAATTATTTAGCCTTGCTTATGAGACACAACGGGGAGCTGTTTACTTCTGTCTCTCCTTCATGCTTTTCTGTCAGATGTGGAAAAAAAATGGCCTTTATTCAAGTTGTCATCATCCAGTGGGCTGGAAAAAAGTGGCCTGGAGCTTCGGCTGAATGTGAGCGTTTGTGTTTGTGTGTCTCCAAACACACCTGAGGGACAACCACATCACCGATGCATCAAAGTGCATTCTGGGAGACCAAATGTTGACTTGTTTTCATCCACTGGGAACATACTAGATGCTGAAAAAGATGTTTGATTTGGAAACCTAACATGTGTGAGGGTTTGATGAAGTCAGCCGGCAAGCAAAGTTGAGTGAGAGAGGCAAAAAATGATCTAAGATTATTCGGCCAATCCTGGATCTTTTTATCTTGATTACTGATCTCTGGCTAATTTCGTTCTTCAAACAAGTTCGTGAATCAGATTAAAATGTCTGGATGAACTGATCTGAGATCGCTGCGTGTGTACAGATCTATCGATCCTTGAAATCATGATCAGCAATGCAACGATTGGCTGACGGCACAGCAGCTTAATGACATCATCAGATTAATATTCAATTATCCATGTGAGCAAAACTGCTTAAAATTCATAGTAAACGGTTTGTTAAATATGATACGCAATAACTTTTCAACATTGTTGTGAGCTGCCGACTTTACATTTTTGTGTGTCAAGTGTATTTAGCAATTTTTTTAGTTTTACATTTAGAGCTAATTTTCTTTATTATGGTAGCCATAGTCGTATTATAGTAGTCGGTTTCTTAATCGGTGTAAAGAATAACTGGATGTTTAATTAATTTTGCATCACAAAAGCATTTTGATATTGGTAAAGGTGTCTGCAACTTTTGTGAAGCATCAAATCACCGACATATTAACTGTCAAAACATGTTCATGACTATATAAATGTATAAAATAGTGCATATATGTATTATTACTATGTAGTAACGTTACTAGTATAGTCGCATATTGTGCATGTCAATTATGATGCACAAATTGTCACCTTAGAATGATAAGGTTCTATCTGACATTTTTGTCAAAATTAAGTTATTGATATATTCTTATTAATTGACAACTTATTTACATTTTGGGCTGTTTTTTTTTTTTTTTTTTTTTTGAAATTGTTTACATTTTAAGACTTTTTCATAAAAAAAAAACCTAAATGTTACACACATAATGTTTGCTATGGAATGCATAAAACTTTGAAGCTCAATTTTTCAAAACCATTCAGAACGCAGATCCTCATTTATTCATTTTCTTGTCAGCTTAGTCCCTTTATTAATCTGGGGTCGCCACAGTGGAATGAACCACCAACTTATCCAGCAAGTTTTTACGCAGCGGATGCCCTTCCAGCCGCAGCCCATCTCTGGGAAACATCCACACATACACACACTCATACCAACCCAATTCACCTGTACCGCATTTCTTTGGACTGTGGGGGAAACCGGAGTACCCGGAGGAAACCCAAGCGAACGCAGGGAGAACATGCAAACTCCACACAGAATCGCCAACAGAGCCGAGGATCGAACCCACGACCCAGCGACCTTCTTGCTGTGAGGTGAACGTGATACCCACTGCGTCGCCCCAGAACGCAGATAGAGCCTAATAATTCCAAGGTGACGAAATAGTACTAAAGCGTTAGTAAGCGTTTGTATCTAAAAAGTTCATGTCAATAAATGTTCTCTTTGAACCACCAGATGACAGTCTTTGTACTTTGTGTACTGTGCAGATTACATAAGTTTTAATAATATATATTTTTTAACTAAAATATATATAGTTAAATTATATTTACTATTTTCCCAAGTATATATAACTACTACTGTAAGAAATCAGCATTTGGAACATACTTTCAGTATTACCTTTGCTTATAATGACCTATAATGATCTAATCCTGTTTATGTCATGAGTCGCTCCCGAGGAGGTTTGAGCTACCAGAACTGTTGCTATGACAACAACTCTCGGATGAGTTTTGAAGAATGAAACGATCCTGGATTGTGTCAAACCGTAGAATCAAAAAAATATCGCAGTTAATCTTTTCTCACAGTTTAGTTGGAAGCTGGGTCTATTCTATGCAAGCTATGATGACTTTCACTTTGACATTTTAGCGTGGATGTATACCTGCCCGGTGAGCCGTCTGACAAAAAAGTGCTCCTTTGAATCAAATCAGCAGGATACCTGACCATAACTGTTTCAGTTTCACTTTAACTCAACATTTAACTCAACTGGGGTATTAGACGCAAATAAGGAGTAAGGACTGGTAAGAGTGTTATGGAACTTAATAACGCATGCCAAATGGAAAGAAAAACAACTTCCGCACTTTACGTT